CTGACAGTGAAGAGAAGCGTTGGCCGTCGAGTTGACACGTGGCTGAGCGCGTTCACCAGGCGAAGTTCAAAGGGTTGGAATGTCGGCCGTTTATATTTGCAGATTTCGATCGGATGGACTCAATCCGCGACTGAATGAAGGCCATCGATGTGTCGGATGTGAACCGTGCGGAGATTCGCTCTACAACGCTAGGAGCTAGACTATAGGGAAGGTACGACATCTAGGAGTGATTGTAGCGTCCCTTGGCATTCTCTAGCATCTAATTTCACGTACCAATTTGGCAAGAGTTTCACTACGGAAAGTTGCATTTTAGAATGATTGAGCAAGCAATGGCAAGAATGTCTACATCAGAGCCTAGCAATTTAGCAGCCAGGCAGGTCGACCGTCAACACAGCAAGGTCGCCATCTGCCAGTGTTGCGTAGAGACACCGCGCCAGCGCTGCAGAAGAGTGATCCGCCGGCGTAGCAAGTCTGTGACTTGCCAACAGTGCACCTAGGCAGCTTAACAATGCTGCAGCAGAGCAGTCTGCCAGCGTTGCAACCGCAGGTGACACTAGCGCAGGTGCGCATCCACTTCGCAGGTACGCGGCGACGGTCGAGCACGTCCTCTACCGTCGCGCGGGTGCCAAGTCAGCACGTCCTCTACCGTCGCGCAGCGACGGTCTAAGAGCCACATCGACCTCGGGATACCAGCCCGAGGTCGCCTTCGCCGTCGCAGCCTTGACGATGTTTGCGTGCCTCCGCAGAACCTCGTCGAGCAGGTTTCTTGGTCGACCGAGTCGACCACCCAGCGCTCTGGTCGACGACCTCCCTCGTCCACCACCGCTTTGTCAAAGACCACCCTGGTTGACGGATTCCTCCATCGACTAGCTCGATCAGTTGCTGCTGTTGAACTCCCACCTTCGACGACCACTCACGAGTCCCGCGCATAAGTTGGCGACTACCTCCGTCGTCCTACCCGTCGAACTAGGCCGCCAGCTCCCGTCGACGGCAGCACCGCAGCTGTCGCCCGTAGGTCGACCACCTTGTCGACCTACACGCCCAAGTCGACATCCATATCTGCGTATGGTCGGCTGCTCTTCCCGCACACCCGACCGTATCGTCGGCTTTGCCCATGTGAGGGCCAGGCCAACACCCAATTCCCGTCAACACTCCCGTGCAGCGCTCACGCTTGGGCACCAAACTCACGTATACGGAGAAAACCCGTCGTCGGCGTGCACCCCACACACAGCACGCCGTCACCGCACCAGCCGTGCAAAAGGGCACGATACCTACTGTTGCACGTTGTTATCACCGTCGCCGACGTCGGCCAAACGCACTTGGTCGATCGTGACAGAGCACCGGTTGAAGGCCGGAAAGTGCAACGCCTTCATCAAAAAGTCGGCCAGCCGCTCAGTGGTCGGGATGTGATTCAGCACAAACTTCCCGCGCTTCACCATCTGTTGCTGACAGGCGTAGCATCGCTCCATGTGCTTGAGGTTGACCTCAGCCCCAAGCCCTCAGCGACCGTGATGGCCGACTTGTTGTCCACGCGAAGGACAGTCGGCGTGCCTCCTTGCCTGCTTCCGTGGTCGCGACGCACTCCGATTCGGTCGCCGAGAGCATCGCGCACTTGATGCGGTGGCTCGACCAGGAGACTGCAGCCCCACCGAAGACGAACACGTAGCCGCCTGTGCTCGTTCGGTTCTGTTTGTCACCGGCGTCATCGGCGTCCACGTAGCCGACCAGACTCAGCGACTCAGGTCCACCGCCGAACTCCAGGGGAGTGTTACGGGTGTCGGCGAGGTAGGCGAGGTAGTGGTAGGGGAAGAGTAACGAGCGATTACAGCGTCGTACAGGGCTTTAGCAGTCTTGTGCTGGCCAAAGTGAGCGAGTTCGGTTAACGACAGGTGGTTGCGAACGGCTAAGCGAGTAGCAGCATCACGGGTAAGCCACTGTGAGCGAGTCGCACTGTCAGCTGTGTCGGGAGGGGCGAGAGAGGCTCCAGACGTGTGGTCAAACAACGAAACGCTGTCTCTAGTATCGCTCAGTAGGTACAGCTCTAAGTCATCAAGCCACGTATCGAACTGGATCGGACGGCCCTCAGGATGGAAAGTGAGAATGCTGAGAGTAGCCATAGTGGGCAGAGCAGGGTGGCGCGCGAGCAGCAAGGCAGCGCGCCAGCAAGGACGGCGCGACGGGCAGGGCAGCGCGTAAGCGCTAGGGAAGCGCGCAGGGCAGGGCGGTGCGGCGCACGGCTAGGGCAGGGCGGAGCAAATGACAGGGCAGGGCGGCGGCTAGCAGGCCGGCACACGGGCAGGGCAGGGCAGGGCGGCGGCCAGCAGGGTGGCGCGCGGGTAGGGCAGGGCGGTGCGGCGGCCAGCAGGGCAGCGCGCGGGCAGGGCAGGGCGGTGCGGCGGCCAGCAGGGCAGTGCGCGGGCAGGGCAGGGAGGCACGCGGCCAGCAGGGCGGCGCGACGAGCAGGGCAGGGCGGCGTGGCGGCCTGTAGGGCGGCGCGACGGGCAGGGCAAGGCAGCGCGGCGGCCTGCAGGGCGGCACGCGGGCAAGGCAGGGCGGGGTGGCGTTAGCAGGGCAGCGCGACGGGCAAGCTGGGCCGCGCGCGATCAGCAGGGTGGCGCGACGGGCAGGCAGGGCAGCGCGCGGCCAGCAGGGCAGCGCGACGGGCAGGGCAGGGCGGCGCGGCGGCCTGCAGGGCGGCACGCGGCTGGGCAGGGCGGCGCGGCGCTAGCAGGGCAGTGCGACGGGCAGGGGAGGGCGGTGCGCGACCAGCAGGGCGGCGCGACGGGCAGGCACCGCAGCGCGCGGTTAGCAGGGCGGCGCGCTGGGCAGGGCAGGGCGGCGCGCGATTAACAGGGCGGCGTGACGGGCAGGGCAGGGCAGCGCGACGGGCAGATAGGGTGCTACGGGCAGGGTAACGCGCTACAGGCAGCGAACTATATGGTGGGCCCTAGAAAAAAAGGGTCCTGTTCTGAAATTATGTCAGAATACTTAACGGGAATGAATGCATTGAACAGAAATGAGTTTGGTACAAGTACTAACCCTAATTGGGTTGTACCCCATATGGGCTACCCCACTACAGCCTATACAACACACAACATAATAGTTTGACATGTGCGCTATGGGGCTTTCGATGGGCGACAGAGGAATTTGGAAATCCGTATAGATCACTGATGGTCGACCTATGCACATGAGTAGTTTAGGCGTACAAGTATATTCTAAACTGTCTAAAGCAGCAGTTGTCGAACTAAGTACTGTCTAAGATGGGCGCGGACCTAGCACATATCACTGAGTTTAGTCGACAGTCCTTTTTGCGGATCCCGGCGCATACTGACGGCTATTTCAGTGGTAACAGTATTTTTTACGCGTTTCAGCATCAGGCGGTTATGCAGGTGCTGCCCGTCCTACTCATGCAACAAAACGTCAAACGGAAGATTATTCGGACGGTTGAGCTTTTCTGCCAGTGGCACGCGAGTGCATGGCACCGCGCATAGCATACCGACGAGACGCTTGAAGACTTGGAGAATATGACACAAAGTTTCCATTACTTTACTGGAATATTGTGCTTTCTGATTCTTTTTCACTACTGTTTTGGTTCCTTTACAATTGCGCCTTTAAGATCGCGTGAGCCTGTAAAGTGAATGTGATTATGCCGAGTTCAGGATTCGCGTCAAAATTTCACGAACGATAATTTTCACTCGAGCGGCACGGTCGTTTCTCGATACAATCATTCTCGTTACATGTGCATTGTCTCATTACCGTCACGTTCTTATTGTTATAACTTGTTTCAAAAAAATGTTTGTGTGTTAACCTTTTTTTTATTTACAATGTGTTGGCAGACTTGTGCCACAACTCTTGGAGCAATTCGGGGAGGACCAGACATCAGAGTTCAATATCCCCCAAGGTTCATGCAATGCTGCATGTAGCGGACGACATCCGGCGCGGGGGTGTGCTGGTTTATTATTGCACATATTTGTACGAGCATGTGCACATCGCACTTGTCAAGCGCCCGTACCGCGGGTCCAACAAACGAAATGCAAAGGCATAAATCACTCGACGACGCTTAACGACCGAGTTGGTCAAGTCGATAGCCGCAAATGATGTTCCGGTCGATGACAAAGAGGCGCGGACCGTCGCCATGAAACAAGTGAGTAAATAACCCGCTAAGCCCATATTTCCTGGTTGTTTGTGATGTTATTTGTTTTGTGTTGAATGTTTTTAGTTCAAACTCATCTTTTATTCCATTCAGGTTTTCTGTTTTGCGTGGGTGTATTCAAACGCACATTGTCAATTCGTCAGTGGCGTTTTCCAACTCACACGTATACATTGTTCTTTTCTAGGCACAAATAGAACACCATCGTCTTTTTTTCAGTTTCGCTTGTGGCTTCGTTTTGGCATTATGCACGCATTTTGCAAACATGCCGATCGGACACCACACAACGGTTGCGCTGTCTCACTGTTACGAAAAAGACACCAGCACAAGATTTTAATTCATTGGTCAGGGCCAGTGGACCCTCAAACAGTTGTCGCTATCCTGAATAAGACGCGCTCACATGTTTTATGTCGTTTGGCACTTGCCGTGCATCACACCATCGTGGCGAATGCACATGGGGTATTTTCTATCGTGTTTTTGAAAGGGAAAATTGTTGAAACTAGCAGGCGAGAATGGTGCATTGAAATGAGAGTTGGGTACAAGTATCAAACCCTAGAGGGGTTGTACCCCATATTGGCTACCCCACTACAGCCTACACATATATATCACATATATAATTTGACACACCCCCATAGGCAAAGTGGGGGAGAGCAAGGGGTCACAAGACCAGTCCAGCAAAGCAATGCAAGCCCAGGGTGGATCACAACGTCACCACACACTCTGAGCACAAGCAAAGGGCCACAAGGCCAGTTCACGTGCAGAGCTATACAAAACAATGCAAGTAGTATAGTGATCACAGCCTAGAAGTATAAGCATGCAAGGAAATATATAGATCACAGTACAAGCAAGGTCAAGCAGTAAGCAAGTGAGGGAACGAAGACACAAGGCCTAAAGAAGTACAGTGCCGCTGATGGTCACTAGGCGGAAGCGCCTTGGTGAATAAATCAGCAGTGTTGGCCCGCGAGTCCATGTACACAAGACGAAGCTGGCCACGCTGCTGCAGCTCTCGAGCAAGGAAGTAGCGTAGAGCAATGTGCTTCGTTCTGTGCTCCAGTCTGTGCTTCTGACACAAGGCAAGGGCTGCCTTGTTGTCGCCGTACAGAACTGGAGGAGAACGAGGCTGCTCTCCCAAGTCAGTCAGCAGGTAGGTAAGCCAGCGTAACTCCTGTGCAGCCATGGCCCCTGCGTAGATCTCAGCCTCACAACTGGAGCTGAGAACAGAAGAAGAGCGGGTGGACCGCCAAGAAACAGAACCAGAGCCAAGGCTGAAGGTGTAACCCTGCGACAATCGCTGCGTAGTCTGGTCGTCAACCCAAGAGGCGTTTGAGTGTCCAGTGAGGACAACTAGGCCCCGTCCTCCAAGCACCAGCCCCATGCCTGATGTGCTGCACAAGTAGCGCATCACCCTCTTAGCAGCCTCCCAGTGCTCTCGCCGGTGTCTCCCAGGCGCAACGTAGCGAGCCAGGATGCTAAGAGGGTACGCAAGGTCAGGATGAGTGCAGGTCATCAGGTACATGAGGCAGCCCACAAGCTTTGGATACGGGCCACTCAGCTCTACGGACTCGTCCGAAGGTGGAACTGAGAGCGAGTGGCCGTTGGGCAGAGGAGTGGACTGTGGTGAGGAGAACTGGAAGCCGAAGCGCTGAAGGACCTGCTGCACCATGTGTGACTGAGTCAGGGTGATGGTGCGGCGTGCTCTGTCCCGGGTGATCTGCAAGCCAAGGTAACTGCGCAGCTCACCCAGGTCTGTGCACGTGTGTCTCTTCTGCAGCTCCGACTTCACAAGAGCGAGTGCCTCAGTATCAGCAGTAGCAAAGACCAAGTCGTCGACGTACACGAGGATGTAGAACGGCGGCAGTGATGTGTCTGTAAGCAGGAACAGTGACGGGTCTGCAGTGGAAGGAGCAAACCCAAGAGCCGCAAGCGTCGTCCTCAGTGTGTCGTGCCACTCGCGCGGCGCCTGGCGGAGACCGTAGACTGGCCGCCTGAGGCTCCACTGGGTACCAGGAGGGAACGACCCAGTGAAGCCAGGAGGACGGCGCAGCCAGATCTCCTCGTGCAGGCTGCCCTGCAAGAAGGCTGTGCTGAAGTCAAGAGAGTGAAGCTCGTAGTCACGCTGAGCGGCAACGTGCAGCAGCACCCGAAGAGTGGTCATCTTTGGGGTAGGGGAGAAGGTCTGGAAGAAGTCAACTCCCTGCCGCTGACTGAAGCCTCGAGCAACGTAACGAGTCTTGAAGACAGGCGGAGAACCCGGCGGTCGCTTCACCCTGAAAATCCACATGCCATCGACGATGTTCGCCCCAGGAGGGGGAACCTCGTCGACGTAGGTGCCTGTGGACTTCCAGGATGCCATCTCTGCGTCCATGGCTGTCTGCCACTGAGAGGAGTAGGGACCCGAGACCGCCTCTGCGTAAGAGCGCGGGGTAGGGATGTCTGGTGCATCCGGGTCTCCTTCAGGGGCAAGCAGCCAGGCCGTAAGATGAGGTACAGCAGCCGCAAGACAGTCAAGGTCCTCCTGCCTGTCCTCAAGGACGTCCGTGCCAAAAGCACACTCACCCCCGACGGACGGAGGACAGACAGACTCAGACTCAGCAACAAGACTGGCAGCGTAGTCTAGACGACAGGCAGCAGCAAAGTCAACAAGCTCAGCGACAAAGGCAGACGCAGCAGTAGACTCAAACGAAGGGTCAGTGACAACAGTGGCCAACAGGCGTGTGACAGTCGGGTGACAAACGGTGTCAGACTCAGGCAAAGAGGACGCAGGAGGAGACGGCAGGGGGACACGCTGTGGAACAGAGGAAGGACGAAGTGTCATCTGGTGCGTGTCTGGGACAGGAGGAGGACGCGGACGCGGAACACGGCGACCAGTGCGAGCAGCGCGAACAGGTGAGACAGGACGAGACGCAGGCGGACGACGCTTTGTAAGAGACTCAGGCTGCTCAGTGTAAGGAGGAGGAGCAGGCAGTGGGGAGGCAGGCTGTAACTGTGGCTGGGACTGGTCTGGCAGTGGACACAGGTCAGTAGAAGACGGGAGACCAAGAACCTGGCGAAGTAGGGGAACGAAGTACGGTCGTGGTCGCACAACGTCTCCAGCACTAGTACCGACAGCTCCAGCCGCAGGACCCAGCTCCCGCGCCAGGAGCTCCAGCGCCTCCAGGGTCAGCAACTCCAGCCCTGGCACCACCAGCGGCCAAAACTCCAGTACCAGTAGCACTACCAGCTCCGGCAGCTCGAGCACCAGAAGTGCGAGCACCTCCGAAGCCAGCAGCGCTCGAACGTCCAGCACCCTCAGCACCAGCGTCTCCAGCTCGAGAACCTCCAGCTCAAGCTCCAGTGTCTCCAGTGCCAGCAGTACGACCCTGACGACGAGCGTACCACTCATGGAGCTGCTGCAGGGAAAGAGGCTCACGCAGGGTGGAGGGCTGCAACGAGGCGCCAGGAGTGCGACTCCGAAGACGACCGCTCCAAGGAGACTGCTCACGAAGTACCGCAGCACCCCCAGGCGCAGCACCCCCAGGCTCAGCACCCTCAGGCTCCGCACCCCCAGGCTCAGCACCCCCAGGCTCCGCACCCCTAGGCTCAGCACCCCCAGGCTCCGCACCCTCAGGCTCAGCACCCCCAGGCTCCGCACCCCTAGGCTCAGCACCCCCAGGCTCCGCACCCTCACGCTCAGCACCCCCAGGCTACGCACCCCTAGCAGCACCCGAGTCACCAGTGACCTCAAGAGGCTCAGCCACACGAGGAGGGTCTACCTGAGACACACCTGAAGGGGCAGGACCTGGAGGAGGGGGCAGGGGGGTCTACCTGGGGAGGACCTGGAGCGAGAAAGAGCGGCGGGGGGGGGGGGGGGGGGGGGGGGCGAGGGGCAGTGCGGTAGGGAAAGAGACGGTAAAAGGGGACTGACTCGTCAAAGGTGACGTCCTGAGACGCAAAGACACGGCGCGAGGCGGGGTCGTAGAACTGCCAGCCAGGCGCATCAGGAGGAAAACCAAGGAAGACGCAGGGAATGGCGCGAGCGGAGAGCTTGTCCGCAGTGGTATCGCGGACAAAGGCACGAGCACCCCAGACCCGGAAGCGCGACGCATCGCCAACCTCCCCCGTGTGGGCGAGGTCTCCGGCAAGGAGACACAGGGCCAGAGGTTGAGCTGATGTGCGGCGTACCGGACCGCAAACGGCCACAGAAAATGGGGGGCAGCTGCATGGATCATGGAGGTACGAGCGACCTCCATGACCAAGCCAATGCGGCACTCAGCAACCCCATTCTGCTGCGGAGAGGCCGGAAGCGTGAACGACTGGCGGATGCCGTGCTCCTCACAGAAGGCTCGCAAGAGGTCGGAGGAGAACTCATCACCTCTGTCAGAGTGCAGACGCAGGACAGGAAAGTCCGAGAAGAACCGCTCGCAGAGCTGGAGACGAACAGCGCGGATCCAGGGGATCAGAACAGCAGGGACCTGACCCTTGCTGCGCAAGGGGAAGACCGTGGTGTAGCGCGAGTAGTCGTCGACAACCAGCAGGAAGTACCGCTCACGGCCCTGTCCCTGGACGCGGGCTGGGCCCCACACGTCCAGGTGAAGAGTGTGTAGCGGAGCCTCTGTGGGAGGGAAGGAGGAGGAGTGAGGAGCGGCGCGCTGCCGCCCCTCGACGCAAGGAATGCAGGGCGGCGCAGGCGAGGGAGGGAGGGCAGGCAGAGACCTGGGAAGACCAGAGACAAGTAGGCGAGAGTGCATGCTACGAAGGCGGGGCAGGGAGGGGTGACCAAGGCGGTGGTGCCACAGGAGAGTGTCGTGCGACAGGCGGCGACACTCACACTAACTTGGGTGTCTGCTGCCTTTGGTGCAGGTACTGGTGGTGTCTGTTACCTGAGCAGACGCGTACAGCTGTGGAGACAAAAGGGTGGAGACCCGGGCTCACGAGTGAACGTGGCCAGGTGGCGGCCAGTCTTGGAGCACGTGCAGATCGCCACACGCTATCCTCCAGGAGTCCAGGTGTCAACCCAGTGATCCTGAAGGACGGCGTTGCTCACCAGGTTCGTAGAGAACGTGGGGATGTGGAGACCAGACAGCTCACCGGACGGGACCGCCGGACACGGGAGCACAGTGGAGGAACGAGCAAGCACTGGGCCCCCAGAGGGGTCAGCCAGTGAGACAGGGACAGGCGCAGAAAGGGGAGTGACAGTGGTACTGTCGCGAAAGAAACAGCGAGAAGCACCAGAGTCAAGTGTAAAAGTGTGCAAGGCCTGTGCCGACTCAGTACCAGGGGGGGCAGACTCACTAGCACCTAGAGCAGCAACCTCTATACCAGGGTCAGGGGGGAAGCACAAATAGCAGTCACCCTCAGCACTAACAGTCAATGCATACATGGCAGCAAGAATCTTATCATAGTCCAGATCAAAGATAGGAACCTCACGCCTCATCAGGTCTGCCCACTTGGGCAGTTCAATCGCATCAGGGAACCTGGCACGCCAAGCGTCGCTAAGACAAGAGAGGCAGCGGTACTCAGTGTGAAAGCCGTTGCATGTGCGACCAGTGCAGGGACCAGTGCGAATGATATAGGGGCAGCGAACAGGACCCCCAGACGCCCCACGCTGAGCGTACCAGTCATGGAGCTGCTGGGGCGTGGGGGTCTGGCGCTGACGCTGCTGCTGCTGCTGCTGCTGCCCCTGGCCACCACCGGAACTCCAGCCCCCACCACCGCCGCCACCACTGCTCCCTCCTCCCCCACTGCCGCCGCTGCCACCTCCATTGCTACCGCCACCGCCGCCACTCCCCCCACCGCCTCCACCCCCACCACCACCCCCACCTCCCCCACCTCCTCCTCCGCCACCACCTCCAGCACCCCGACCACCCTTGCCCTTGGCGCTGCGGCGCTTCCCACTAGGAGCGGAAGCCGCCCCGACCTCCGCAGCACACAGGAAGTCGACTGCAGCAGCAACAGAGGCATGAGAGGAGGCGAGGGGAGAGGGAGAGCACCCCTCAAAGATGGGGGTGCGGGGAGTGCCTCGAGCAGCACTGACAACGACAATGCTCTTCTCCGCTACCAGAAGTTGCTTCTCGAAGTCGTCTATGGTGAGGGTAGAGGGGTCGAGAGCAAGGAAGTGGTCCCTGACCGAGCGAAGGGAGTCAGGGAGGCGGGTGACGAGGAAGTAAAGGGTGAAGTACATCGGGGGGTGGTTCTGCGTGAGAAACTCGTCTGAGAGTGCAGCACGGAAGCGAAGGTCACTAGCACGCAGGTGAGAGATCAGATCCTCAATAGTGGAAAACGAGGACAGATCGGGGAACAGGTAGGGCAGCATAAGACGGCCGAGGGCTGCCGTGGCGGGAGAAGAATAGCGCGCAACTACTGCGTCGTACAGCGCCTTAGCGGTCTTGTGCTGGATAAAGTGGGCTTGCTCAGGGATCGGCAGGTGGTTGCGAATCGCTAGGCGGGCTACAGCGTCACGGGTCTGCCAGCTAGAGCGAGCGAGTGCGTCAGCGGTATCAGCAGGGGCGGCAGAGGCGCTAGAGGCAAAGTCAAACAAGGAGACGCCGTCTTTGGAATCAGTCAGCAGAAAAAGCTGTAAGTCATCTAGCCAGGTAGTGAACTCGATCGGGCGGCCATCAGGCTCAAATTCTAGGACGTGAGGAGTCGTCATCGGCACAGCGAAGGGAAGCCGAAGCAGCAGGCAGGCAGGGGCCGGGCGCTGGCTAGGGCGCGGGTGTAGGGCGACGCGGCGGGAAGTTAGGGGCCTGGCACGGGCTTATGGGCGACGCGACGGGCAGGCAGGTGGCCGGGTGGGGGCGGGCTTAGGGCGACGCGACGGGCAGGCAGGCGGCCGGGCGCGGGCTTTAGGGCGACGCGACGAGCAGGTAGGTGGCTGGGCGCGGGCTTTAGGGCTACGCGACGGGCAGGCGGGGGGTGGGGCGGGCGCGGGCTTGGGGCAACGCGACGGGCAGGCAGGGGGCCAGGCGCGGGCTTGGGGCAACGCGACGGGCAGGCAGGGGGCCGGGCGCGGGCTTAGGGCGACGCGACGGGCAGGCAGGGGGCCAGGCGCGGGCTTGAGGCAACGCGACGGGCAGGCAGGGGGCCAGGCGCGGGCTTGGGGCAACGCGACGGGCAGGCAGGGGGCCGGGCGCGGGCTTAGGGCGACGCGACGGGCAGGCACGGGGCAGGCGCGGGCTTAGGGCGACGCGACGGGCAGGCGGGGTCCAGGCGCGGGCTTGGGGCGACGCGACGGGCAAGCGGGTGGGGCCGGGCGCGGGCTTAGGGCGACGCGACGGGCAGGCAAGGCAGGCGCGGGCCTTAGGGGCGGCGCGACAGGCAGGCAAGGCAGGGCGCGTGTGGGGCAGCGCGGTAACCGCAGGCAGGCAGGCGTTCGGTGGGCCCAGGAAAAAAAAATCCGGTCCTAACGGATCTACAGCTCTGAAACCATGTTGAAACTAGCAGGCAAGAATGGTGCATTGAAATGAGAGTTGGGTACAAGTATCAAACCCTAGGTGGGTTGTACCCCATATTGGCTACCCCACTACAGCCTACACATATATATCACATATATAATTCGACAAAAATAAGTCAATGGTAACTTACATGGGGCACTAAAACGCGTACGGTAACGATTTCAACGCGTTTGGTAACTCGCTTAACGCGTTTGGTAACTCGCTTAACACGTTTGGTAACTCGCTTAACGCGTATGGTAACTATACACTAGCAGCCCATCACGCGAATGGTAACTAGAAGAAACCCTCGCCCAAAATGACCCTGATTCTGGTTTTCCCCGCTCGTGTCAGACTAAATTGACGAATCTTGAAGCAGAAACCTCTGAGACACTCTCCAAAGTTCTGACACAGTTTTCTGAAATTCTGACACACTTTCCGAAATCATGACACACTTTCTGATTTTCAAGGTAATTGCAAAAACGTAAGTGTTGTGAAAACAACTGTTCATACATAACTGATTTTCTGTCGCTCGTTCCGCAAACTGTTTGTACTTTATTCTATCGTGCAGCCGGGGCAAACAAGTCTATACCCCTTTCAGATGGTAAATGAATTTGAGAGCATCAACCCTAAACACCTTGCGACAAGGCGTTTATGGTTATTGTTTTTTAAGAAACATGTAATTCTATAGAGGTCTATTTTTCCCACATGCAAAAATTCTCCAACGCTGCAAAAATTACAAAAAGTAAAATCTCCAATGGCCTTTCGAGAAATGTTTGTTTTTTTTTTATCGTTTTGCAAGTTCGTAATCATGCTATCAAAAATATGTTTTTAACCGTTTTTGTACCAGCTACATATATATAGAAAACGGCTCTGAAACTTTCCGGTCTGTGGTAATAGAACAAACGGCGTCCTTCAAACTCGCGGCGGGACTTATTCAAGAAGATAAAACTGTGCGTAAAAGCTTTCAAACTCGATAAGTTCCTCGTTGTCAGGATCATTTTGGCGAGAATTTCATGTAGTTACCCTTCGTGTGATCACTCGCCTGTGTTGAGTTACCAAATGCGTGATGCGAGTTACCAAACGTGTTAAGCGAGTTACCAAACGCGTTAAGCGAGTTACCAAACGCGTTGAAATCGTTACCGTACGCGTTATAGTGCCCCATGTAAGTTACCATTGACATATTTTCCCTTTTTGAAAACGACACCAACATTATGTTTCGACAAACTGTTCACCGTGTGTTTCTGAGTCGACCCCACCGTGAACAGTGCCCGCACACCTTTCAAGCATATATTTGATCGTGTACGAGTGTGTTCTACAAACTTCGAAACCATAAAACATATTACAAATTCATCCAATTTATCCAAACTCCCTTTCTATGCACAGGCATTGGAGACTGGATCCTCTCTGTCACCGAGTCACATGCGAAGATGGGCTGGACAGATCGCGACAACACGTTGTGGCGGTCTTACAACGCTTCTGCACCTGAGGATTTCAAATGCCTTGAAGACGCAATCAAGGCATTCCAACGCCAACAAGAGCATCCTCCTCGGGCAAAGGTTGAGTGGGAGACAGTTTTGAGGTGCACAAGGGTGTGGCGATTCGGACGACGATTTCACTCGGTACAGCAAATATCAGTCCTATGTGCGCGCTACCCCGAGCTTTTACGGGGCTCCATAGTTCTCGGACGTGTCTGTTGACGATGTCGACGACAACGGCAAGAAGATGGTGTGGCCTGCCAAGCTACTCATGATCTTCATGTTGCATCGTAAAGTCACTACAACAAGGATGAACCCGACCACTCGATTACGGGTCTCATTGGAACAAGATTATGCTGAACAGGTGGCGTTTGTTCGCTACTACAGGAGGTATCCCCCCAGCGATACAACCATGTTGACCCTCATGCAATGGTGGGAAGGTGGAAGGGGTTATGAAATTGTGTATGTTGAAAGCTTGCTGAGGGTTCTGCACGTGGTACCTTATGTCCCGGTGACGCCATCGACGATCGAGAAGTTCATTTGGAATGAGTTTAGGTGGTGAAACTATTGTACATACTTGTTAATAGTTGATGTATCCTCAGTCATGTTCTTTTTTTTTTTTTTTTTTTTTTTTGCACTATTGTACATTCAAGCAGTCCAGTCTTCTCCTTTGTCATATGAATTGGTTTGAGCTAATTTGCCCAACTACGCAGCTTGTGAAGCTTGTTTGTGCGTTCGATGGCATGGATCGGTGCAAGGATAGGCCTGTACGCAACATGTCACCGTTTCAACATCTGTTTGTTTGTTTTACCTCTGTTTCTTCACAATGTTCCAGATATGAACCTATTCCCTAGCCATAGGAATTGGTTTGAGCTCATTCGCCCAACTACGCATGTGAGAGTACGACAACTTATGCCAGCTATGCATGCTTGCCTTTACTTTATTATGCTACTTCTAGCTTAGGTTTATTTTATGCATGCATGAATTGCTTGATTTCCTAGGCTAGGTGCTTTCCTATATTTTATTATAGTTATAGCACCGAGCTAGGTTGCGTACACCGAATTCTGGGCTATTCGGTTGTCACCGAATTGCCTTCTACCGAATTCGGGAAGGGTCTGTTCGGGACGCTTCGCGACTCCCAAAACCTTCGCAACACCTGGTTACTACCCCTCGTGTCGAGCCTATATATAGCCTCGTGTTGTACCCAGGTGATCATTCAATTCAAACCCTCTTTCCTGAGCTCGATCCTAGATCCTCACACTTGGTAATCAGAGCCTGTTTACACGCGAAGTTTTTCGACTGCTATAACCTAGCTTTTAAAACCGGGGGGGCGACGACGGGAAGCGCCGATTTCGGGTACGTAAACCAGTTCCGCGCTGTTTTTTAACGTCCCCCTCGAACCGGTTTTCGAATCTCCTCAGGTTCATTGGCAAAGAAGTTGGAATTTCGACCGTCCGATCGATTCGAATCTCAACGGCCCTGAGAATTTCGCCCAAAAAAGTTGGAATTTGGAGCGTCGGATCGATTTTCTTCTCAACGGCCGAGATCAGACGCGAATTACGATAAAGGGAGAATTGCGTGGCGTACGAATCTAGCGCTCGTTTTTTTTACAGTCGAGTTTGTTCACAGTAAGTCGAGCAGCGCCTAGAATGCAATTATTTCCGTCGCAAATCTTCCTGTCGTCAAATGGAGGAAAATGGTGAAAATTCCGTACGAAAAATTACGGAGTTACGCACCGACGTGGACCAGATGCGAGCGGCACTCCAGCGAATACCAGTCGCATCTCCCTACGGTGCACCAGTTCTCTTCACCCCAAAGCCAGACGGCAGTCTACGGATGTGCATCGACTACCGCGCACTGAACAAACAGACAGTTAAAAATAAATACCCCATACCGCGCATCGACGACTTACTGGACCAACTGCGTGGTGCAACAGTTTTCTCGAAGCTGGACCTACGGTCGGGTTACTGGCAGATCAAGATGGCGGACAACTCGATCCACAAGACGGCGTTCCGTACGAGATACGGCTCCTACGAATACTTGGTGATGCCGTTCGGACTCTGCAACGCACCCGCGACGTTCCAGGCAGAGATGAACAACATCCTCCAGCCCCTGTTGGACAAATGCGTAGTAGTGTACCTGGACGATATCCTCATCTACTCCAAGAACATGAAGGAGCACGTGGAGCATCTGCGGAAGGTGTTCGAGATCCTGCGGAAAAATAAGTTCTACGTGAAGCTGTCGAAGAGCGACTTCGCCCTGAAGAAGGTGCAGTTTCTCGGGCACATGGTGAGTGCCGAGGGCGTACACGTGGACCCGCGGAAGATCGAAGCCGTTAAAAAGTGGAAAGTTCCGGAGAACGTGAAGGAGTTGCAGCAGTTCCTCGGCTTCGCCAACTACTACAACAGGTTTGTGCCGCAGTACGCTAAGATAGCAGCGCCACTGACTGACCTACTGAAAAAGGATACGCCCTTCAGATGGGATACTCCTCATCTGCAAGCCATGGAACAGCTACAGACAGCACTGACCACAGCGCCAGTACTCATCCTACCGGACCCAGAAAAGGACTACGTAGTTGAAGCAGACGCTAGTGACCAGGCAGTCGGAGCAGTACTAATGCAGGATCACGGGAACGGTTTACAGCCTATCGCCTACCTCAGTAAGAAGCTACACGGAGCAAAACTGAACTACCCCATTCACGACAAGGAAGCCTTAGCTATAGTCGTAGCCTTCAAGGCGTGGAG